TGTTAGTCTGTGTTTCAAGACAACTAATGGGTAGAAAAAAATGTCTAATTTATTTTTTGACATGTTGAAGAGAACTATTTCCACTGGCACTCTATTTTGATTTTCTTATTTTGGTTTTCTTAATTTCATATTATTATTTTTTTATAACTATTGAATCATCATATAGAAAGAAGCCTATTATACAATGTATACATTATGTCTACAACAAGTATTGATGAGCTATTATGTATCGAAATCAACTCACAAACATTTTAATGGATTGCCACTAACCATTCTTGGTGTAGTGAATTGAAATTTTCATTTTTCGCAAAAATCAAAAACGGTACTATTTTAAATATTTAACAACGAATTCCAACAATTGAAGTTTCACCTAAGATTTTTGAATGAATCTACACTTCTACAGAATGGTCAAAGCAAAGGGGATTGCTTTTGCTTAAATTAAACGAAAAACAGACTGACCTATCTGTCTTGAAGAAAAGACAAATACAATCTGCTTGCACTCGACGTTTGCTTTTCAGCAATCGACTATTATGTCGAGATTTAGATGAATTTTTAAATAATAATTTATTGTGACTTGTGCCAGAAAAAAAAATAATTTTAAGAAATGCAGATTTTAATTTGTCAACGCGTTTCGTGTTCTTTATTGAAATATTAAAACACTCTTCAGGGGTCTGCATTAGATGTTCACGCGCTTGAATAACTGAAATAATACAACATTAAAAAACTGTAATCATTCATGTGATATTAACTAGGTTCTTGCTCTACATGCTTTATTTGTAGAAAGATGCTTGATTATGTTCATCATAAGTCGTACATTGTAATTTTTATTTGTTGCATTTTAATTTTGGTTGTTATATTTTAATTTGTATTTGTATAATTTTGTTTCTGCATATGTTTTAGAAAGACTTTGCTGCACAATTAATGAAACACACTATTTTGATTCAATTTATCATATTCTGGTATGATAATTTTTCACTATAAGCCACACATTTTAATTTTAATATTAATAAAATCGTTTATACCTAAATTTTATAAAAAAAAGTTTTTGTAAAGATAACGTAACGAATTTATTTTGATTAAGTTAATTATATTGTGACAAATATAGTTCTGTATTATAACAGATAAATTCATCATAATAAGTTGCCCAATTTAATTTTTATCCTAATAAGTTAAATAATATAACCGATCTATTTCATTTTCATTTTCAACAAAATCAGATTGAATAAATATTATTTATTACGTATTAGCTGTTGTTGTAAATTCTTGACATTACGAGTACCTAAAACCGGTTTTATTTCATCTGTTGGAGATCCCATAAAATATTTGTTCCAAAGGGCATGAAATTTTGTGAGAAATGCTTTCATATTCAAACAATAGGTAAAATGAATGAACATTGTTTTACCACAATCAATTGGAATATTTTCTTTTTTTCTCTATATAAATTAATTTCTCACGTAATGTTTTATAACTGTTTGTCGATAATGGCTGAATCAAATTATGCTTTTTGAAATACACCACTGAATTGTTTCTCTATAAATTCACCAGGATATTTATTTAACAATAAAGCCATTCTTAATTTTTTTCCGTTCATATAAATATGCATCGAATGTTGAACAATATTTAATGTAACGAAAAATATATATATACCTAGGCATATATATATATATATCCGTTAATGACAAGTGGAGAGGCACATTAATGTCTTTGATCCCATTGTGGGCATGATGTTTATTCGACTATTCACTACATCCAAATGTAATAATCTAATACACAACATGAGCTTATATATGAGAGGGATGGAAGAGAAGAAAGAATAGTTGGTACAATACCAAAAGGAGAAGAGAAAGAGGAAAGATATAGCAGAGTACTACGTAGGGTGTGGGTATGGGTGTGGCTGTGGTTGTGAGTGTAGCTATGAGTGTAACAGAACAGAAGACTCACACCCAGACCAACACCCACACCCACCCACACCCAATGTGCGACGAGATTTTATTTTCAGGCATGATGCATAGATGTGAACGAAAGAAAAAAAATATCTATTGGCTAAGAACTATTAGTCAATCAGTAAAGAACAATGGAAAACTTTTGTTTTACTTTTTTTTTGCTGGGGAATGTTTTTTGCAATTGAATTTCGTTTAGGATATTTATTTTTTTGCTTCGTTTTTCGTTTTTAGATTTAAAAGAATATTAATTATAAGAGTACTCAACGTTGTTGATTTCAATGTGTCAATTTTTAGACGATTAAATATTTTTTTTATTATCTCATTCAATGTGGTATATTATATATCTGTTTAAACATATCATTTTATTTAACACATTTTCACTGAAATTATTCTTCTTGTATCACGTTTTATTTCATTAATCTTATATTCTTATAGATAATTATTGTTTTTCGTCTGTTCGTGTGGATTTTGTCTTCGATTCAGCAATAATTATATAGAAATAAGTAGCTTATATCTATTATTTTTGATGTATTTACTATTTTTTTTCTTTAAGATAAATTATATTCGTGGTGTTGTCTGTGTGGTTGGTTTATTTGATAATAAACATTTATTTGAACTTGATCAAGTATGCTTTATTTCAAATATTAATTATTTTAATTTTATTATCTTTTTAGTTTATTATTATTGTTGTTTGTCACTGTTGGTTTTTATTTAAATTCAATATTATTTTATTGAACAAGATATGTATGTTGCATCTATTATTTCGTATTTATCCATTTATTTATTTATTTTTCTTTTAATTGAATTAGATTTTTCGTCGTATTGTCTGTGTAATACTAATCAATCTATTTTTAAAAATTTACTTGCACCATTAAATTATTTTTGTCATTTACTATCTTAGAAAGACAAGCTTTTGGTATATTTTTTAGAAATAAAGTTAAATTTTTTATTTTTTTTTGTATTTTTAGATAAAATGAGTAAAACAACAAGTCTTATTGGTAAAGAAAGTTTGAAAAATCTTGATGCAAGTCATGAAGCATATGCAGACAATGATGGAGTTTTTCATTGCATATTAAATAAAGTGAATAAATAGTTTGATTTTTAAATTAAATAAAAAAGGTGATTTGTGTCTTATTTGGTAGAATGATAGTGATAATCAATTGATGACGCATAGAATGCATACACTGGTATTAAATGAAGCACCTCAATATTGCTTGTTATTATATAAGTAAGAATAGCAAATAATTTGTTTCGGATTAGTATAGATTGATCTATTTTTTTTTAGACCAGATGGACAATCAATTATAGAAACTTCTGATTCAAATATTGATTTAGTTAAGTCAAAGTTCTATTCTTTGTAAGTTCCGACATATGAGAAAATAATATCAGAACAATAGAAACTACTTTCAGATTCAACGAATTAACTGAAAATTATTGGAGCTTACGTAAAAAATTCGTTAAAACTTCCGACCATTATGTTTATACAATTCCAACTGATTTGAATTCATCGGTAAGAAAAATATTCTTTTCATTTTTCCATGGCGATTTAACTTAGTAAATTTAATTTTCATCTGTGAAAGAGCTATATCTTCATTTATCGAGTTTTTAAAGAAAACAAGTAATATGAAAGTTTTTATGGAAAAGCAGAGATTAGACGGATTCGGTTCGGTTTTAAAAAAAGCGAAGTGATCCCACGTTTGAGAGACATCATTATAATGGATGAGACAAACTAGTATTGCATTAAATGAACACCAGACAATTCATGAATGTTAGACGATGTTGTTTAATTCTGTACAATTCAAAGTTGAACTTCTATATGATAAAGCACTGAAATCTTCTTATCCACCATTTCTCTTTGAGTTTTTCATAGAAAATGTTTTTGAAATTTGATGTCATCAACAATTTGTTCTTTTCTTTTAGTCAAGTTCGGAAGAACAATAAGTGAATATAAATCAAATTAATAATATTCCAAAATTTATTTGCAGTGAACGTGCATTTTTTAATATGAACGCTAATGCATTAGATCGAACATACAAATATGTTCATGATGGTATAACTTGGCGAATTCCCTTACCTGATATTTCAAGTGAAATAATTATGTACTCATTATTATCCTTACGTTCATTAAGTGTTCGAATTAGAATATTATATTTACATCAGTCTACAACTAGAATGCTATTCGGTAGTGGACTGCTCTTAAACAACCAAATAGTATTAACTTGCGTCCACAATTTTGACCCAATCAATTGGAGTGATAAAATGATTGCCTTTACAAAAATATATGTGTCATCATCTGATCCTGCAAGTCCAGCTTTATTATCGAGAATAAATCCAAATAGCTCAGTAATAGAAACTCAAATCATACAACATGGTTTAAAACAAGATAATATTTTAAGTTTAGACGAACTGAAATCGAATGGAACTGATCTTGCGATTCTGAAATTGAACCATCCAGGACCACATTTACAATTTGATTCTTTTTTTTTCATCCCAAATTCAGTTCCTCATCAAATGTTACTCCAGTCAACTGTAAATTGTTTTTAGCCGGATATAATGGAGAATTATATGATAAGAATGATTTAAATGCATACAAATATACAAAAGGTTTTGAACTTTTAACCATTGATAATAAGTCTATTTCAATTGGATATTTGATTGAAGAATCATCTTCAAATAACAATTATGAAATGCACAATTGTTCAACGTTAACTGGTTCGAGTGGTGCTGTTATAGTGAATTCAATAGGACGATTTATAGGCATTCATATAGAAATTGCCAATTCAAGAATTTCAAGGAAAAATGAATTTTTTGATACTCAAGACACGTTTAACAAGTTTATTCACGTTCATTCAACACCATTTAAGACATTTATTCATGAAGCTATTATCCCAAACATTAACAATGATCAATTAGAACAAAAATGGGAATTTGTTTGAAACTGAAATTTTATTATATTTTTCTTTTTCCTTGTGTTTCGCCTCTTCATTATAAAAGTGAAAGTTGTTGATTGTTTTTGTTTCTATAATCTCATTGTTTAAATACATATTTTCAGATCTCATACGATCGATAAAATGCCTTTACTCAAAAAAAACCACAAGATAAAACAAAACAGACTAGACTTTCATTTTCTCAAATATGTCTATTGCGGGAAAAAATTAAACATACAATTCAATCACAATAGCGATTTCTAATTTAATTTAATGAAGAACGGATTATTAAAATTTAAATAGACAATTAAATTGACTAATCAAAGTTGAAACGATATATGGTGATATCATTGACATGCCAGACACAGACAGTTCTCTTTTTTTCACATTCTAAAAAATTTTCAATTCTTGAAACTATAATTAGTAACGCATTGGAATACAATGAAATTCTTCTAAATAAATCACATGCAATGTGGGAAAAGCACAATTGGATAATCCTTGTCTCTCTAAGACTCGAAACACCTTTTAAAGTTATTTTGATGTTTATTGTATGCCAACCATTATATCCCGATAATAGAAATAAAATTTGGACGAGGACTTGATCTATACATGAGCAATACTCAAGTTCTTATGTTTTTGATTGTTCAATATTCAGAAATCTATTGAATTCGTGTCTTGAGATCCTATGTCAACTGGAAACTCTATCTGTTGATCAATCTATGATTGAACGATAAAGGACAAGTGGCATTAAGGCCATTTTGTCGCCCCCGTATTTTCCAAAAAGGCTTACAAATTCGGAATCAGCATTAAATTCTGAGTAAAATGAGGGTGTCGGTTTGGACAAATGTCCGTGTGCCTGGAAAGAAGATCCAACCACATCCACATCCTCGGTTTCTTAGAAACCATGACGCACCGCGATACTTCAGGGTTTCAGCACACCGCGAAAGTCAGACCGTTTATTAGGTTTTTCAAAAACGTCGATCACCATGGTTTTCAAAATTAGACAGTGATCGCCGATTTCCAAAAACCGAATAAAGGGTCTGTCTTTCGCGTTGTGCTGAAACCCTGAAGTATCTCGGGTCGTTTCCGAACTCCGTGCGTCGCGGTTTCTAAGGAACCGAGGATGTGGGTGTGGTTGGATCTTCTTTCCAGTCACACGAACATTTACCCACAACCACACCCCACATCTGAACTTGAACATCGTGTTAATCAAATTCTTGAAAATATTCTTGCGCGACATTGTATTACACAATCATCATCATCATCAAATATTAGTTGATCGAATTCAAGTATGAATTTCTCTTGTCGTTTTCTTTCAGTAATATGAAAGCGATGATTTTAATGTTTAATGTACCATCATGTCAACTTGTACGATCACATATTCAAGCAGAATCCAGAAATTCAACTATATTACAATCATGTATATTTAATTTCAGTCAACATCAACCAGAAGTATCATCTCATAGACATGAATTTATAACAACTGGATCTCAAAATTTATCGAATCAGTCAGGAATGAAAGGTATCTTAAAAACGAAGGCTCCACCTTCGATTTGTAATCTATTGTTAACATTTGATGGCAAAGATAAAAAAAAATAATAATTTAAAAGAATTTCATATTTTAAATTTTATTGTTTTCAGAAAGTCAAAATGGATCAACATGTCAATTTATTACATTATTTCAATTGATTCATTTAACACAATCGAATCGAACTGTTCTTACAAATTTAAAAAAGTCGAATTTACTTTCTTTTGTCACGAGATGATCCTTCAGTTGTTGTTAGCCACTGGCATTTTTTATCGAATATAGTTCTGAATGATTTTCCTGCAGAGCTTTTCTTACAAAGATCATTTACTGTTAAGGTAAATTTTTATTCGATGATTTACTTTATATTATTATATTCTATTGATAGCGTTTCCTTGCTCTATTAAATGAAAATCATGATGATTTTATTCAAGCAGCACTTTCAAGTTTAAAAGATTATACAATTAATTTACAACGACGAATTAAAATTCTTCGTGATCCAGCTTGTTTCTGTTCAAAATATTATTCGAATTCAGGTAGAATAAAGTCTTATTATCATTCATTAGAAATCGAAAGTCACGGATGATTAGTACATAAAGACAGAATAAGGTATGTCTATGAGCATCTTTCGTGCCCGGTAGATTCTCGTTTCGTCGAAACACTAATTGATTTTCCTGCTTCGTCGAAAAATTTGATACACTCTTTTTTTCATCATTCCCGTCTCGTCGAAAATGAAAAAACGACTCTTCTCATTTCGTCGAAAAATTAAATTGTAATGGAAAGAGCATAATCAAAGCGATACGCTCAATATCTATGAATGACTTCAACAATTTTCTGAAACAGAAACTAATTGATATCCCTATACTATTAATCTGAAATTTTGTAAAAGTATATATATGTGGAGTAAAAGGGACAATTCATTTTTTTGCTACATTCATTATTAAATAAAAAGATGCTATCTATTGTTGAAAGTAAACGTAATAAACCAACTTTATTACTTGATGCTTTTCGCTACACACAAGATAAAATTTTTAACACAACTATTTATTGAAATTTGTGAAAATCGTTCATGTCCTGGACGTGCTGTACAATATGGTTCAAATCCACCAAGCATGAAGAAACCATATAATCATGATGCCGATGAAATGAAATGTAAAGTGGAAGAATTTACAATGAATTTAAAACGACGTATTGAAGATTCACCACAACCAGTGAAGAAAATTTATAGAGAAGAATTAAGAGAGGGTCCATGAGATTATCACCCAAAATGATTGGTGTAAGTTGCCGAAAAAATTTGCTTTTTGAAATTAGATAGCTAGTTTGAACGAGCATTAAAAGTTAGGCAGAAAACCAAA